GAGAGAGAGAGAGAGAGAGAGAGAGAGGGAGAGAAAAGGAAAGAAGTCAGCGGGAGGGGAAGAAAGGGGCACAAGGACAGCAGAACCCGGGAGGGGATGACAAAGAAGTGGGAGGCCCGCGAAAGATAGCCAGCCCCAGGGAGAAACTGCCCCTCTTCCCTCCCCCGGAAGGGAGGCCAAGACAGCACACCCGGCCAACGCACCGAAGTTCGACCGGTTGCGGATCTTCGAGTCGCCGATCTTCAGCGACAAGCCGGTCTTCGACAGGCGCGGCGAGAGGACCGACCAATCGAGGATCAGGCGCCGGGGCGAGCACAGGCAAATCAAGGCGGCCAGCAACTTGCAGAAGTACTTGTAGGCCTTGATGTTGAAGTCCTGCCGAGACTCGGTGGTCTCGATGAGCCGCGCCCCGAGGGCGACAAGCCCCTCGTGCAGGGCCCGCATCTTCGGCAGGAACTCATGCCCCGGGGGGATGGCCTCGGGGATGAGCAGCGGCGCCCGGCGGAGGTACCGCATGTGGGGGCTCGTCATGTCCGGAGTCAGCTCGTCCACCGAGTCGGCCTCCACGTCGGACCCGTCGCCGGAGCCGGCCCCGCTGTCGCCATCCTCGCCCTCCTCCTCGTCGCAGGCGGCCGCATCGTCATCGGCGAAGGAGAGCGCCGGGTCGCCGGGCCCCGGAGGCGACTCGTCATCGAGATCCCCACGAGCGAAGGCCTCGACGATGTCCCGGTAGGAGATGTCCTGCAGCGGCAGCCCGAGGACCGCATGCCGCAGGAAGATCAGCTGCCGGGTGATCTCCTGCCAATTGAGGCTGAGGGGGCGGCGAGGGGGAGGATGCGCAGACACAGGCAGGGACGGGGAAGGGGGACAGAACAAGTGTGTGTGTGTGTGAGAGAGAGAGAGAGAGAGAGAGACAGGAGCCAGATACCCCGGGTCGGGCAGGAGGAAGGCGAGGGGGGGGGGGGATGGGCAAAGACGATGGCCCCACGCACACCGGCTGCTCCAGCAAACTCTTCAGGTGCTCGGCGCGCGGCTCGATCAACTCGGTCATCAGGGTGCACGCCCAGTCCAGGGACTCGGGCGTGGGGGTGCGCCAGGTCAGCTTGACATCCAGGTGCAGGCTGGCCACATCGAACAGCGGCCGGGGGTCGTCCATGGTGTCGGTCGACTGGTAGTCCGTCGGCAGGCCGATCGAGGCAAAGGAGTCGCCCCACAGGTTGGGCGCAATGTCGGCCAGGTTCTGCGCGGCCCACAGGTCCGGCGTGACGGACCGGAGCTCGGCCAGCGTCCCGGTGGCCGTCAGAGCGGCGAGCAGGTGCCGAACCAGCTTGCACGTCATCTTGTAGGACCCCCGGCGCGTGGTCACCAGACACAGCTCGATGGCCTCGCGCAGCTCCTCCTTGAAGAGCAGGATGGTGCCCGGGTCGGTCCGGTGGAACAGGTGGTACAGGATGTTCAAGTACCACTGGAGCTGGAGATCCGAGGCCTCGCTCACCTCGCCGAGGCTGGCCGAGCTGGCACCCGGGCCAGACCCCCGCAGCGACGACACCACCGGCAGGGAGTTCACCTCGTCACGAATGCGCGCCAAGCACAGCGGAACGAGGGCCCGCATGGCGGCCTCCGGGTTGGCCCAGGTCAGCGAGGAGCAAATCATGCCGACCGCATTGCGGGCCCCAAGCGGGGCCGACGAATTGCCGATGTACGCCACAAACTGCCGCAGGGCCTGGGCAAAGTACTCCGGTGACAGCTGGCGGAAGAACTGCCCGGTGGAGATGACCACCATCGACACAACGCTGGATTCGACGTTGATCCCCTTGCTGGAGTCCTCCGGCAGGTTGTCCAGCTGTGCGGTGGTGCGATTGTGGCGGATAGGCGGGTTGGGGTGCGAGAACGGGTGGAGGGAGGGATGGAAAGAGGGATGGAAAGAGGGAGGGGAGGAGGGAGGGGGGAGGGAAAGAGGGAGGGGAGGAGGGAGGGGGGAGGGAAAGAGGGAGGGAAAGAGGGAGGGAGAGCAAGAAAGAGGGAACAAGAAAGAGGCAGCAAGAGGCAGCAAGAAAAAACAGCAAGAAAAAGACAGCGAGAAAAAAACAGCAAGAAAAAGACAGCGAGAAAAAACAGCAAGAAAAAGACAGCGAGAAAAAACAGCAGGAAAAAGACAGCAGGAAAAAAACAGCAGGAAAAAGACAGGAGAGGGGGCAGGTGGGGAAACACAAAAATGAGGTGTCAGCGTAGGCTCAACAGGCACGATGCACATGCGGATAGATGGATGGACAAAGCGAGAACAGTAGGGATCACGAACCAGGCGGAACACCTGCTCCAGGAAGCTGTGGCACCACTCGCCGAGAACCCCGGGGCCGGTGGCATCGCGGACAACTCGATCCGCCTCGATCAGCAGGTCGACCTGCTCCTCGGCCAGGGAGGACTGGTTGACCGGGCCCTCGAAGACGGACTCCGTGTACTGAGGCGCAGACTCGGTCGACGAGGTGGCCGACGAGTTGACGATCGGCATGAAGAGCAGCACAACATACACGAACTACGCGGCGGCACGTGTGCGGGCCGGCCGGGGGGACAGCCGGAAGACCATCGGACAGAAGCATCGCGCCAAGGAAGCCGGGGACAGCGGGCGAGAGAAAGGCAGAGAGAGACGGAAAGAGGCATGAGCAAGAGAGGGGAAGCCGGGGAGGGGAAAAAAAAAAACAAGAACACCCGCCCGGCGAGACATACATAGAGAGATCGGAAGGTCTTGGACGGATCGTTCATGTCAATGCCCGGCAGCACCGCATGCAGCAGGTCAAACACCTGGCCCGGGCCCTGGAAGTAGGGGCGCGGGCGCCAGTTGAAGGGCAGCGGCTTGGTCGAGGCGGTGGGCTGGCCATCCGGCCCCGGGGGGCCCGGCTCGGCAAAGACCCCCAGCCGGGAGGTGTGCCCGGCGCGATTGACCAGCACCGGGGCCACATGGATCAGGGCATACAGGGCCGAGTAGGTCCGGTGCGCCTCCAGCACCGAGTCCAGCGCCGTGGCGATGGTCTCCAGGAAGGGCGGCAGGGCAATCTCCGGGCACATGGTGCACAGCTTGGACATGGTCATGATGCTGTCCCGCACGCAGTAGCTGTCCTTGGAGAAGAGCTGCAGCAGCATCATCGGCTGCACCAGGCGACACACAAACTCCAAGGTGGCCTGGCTCAGGCGCATGTGCGGCGTCAGACGCCGCGACCCGGGCATCGGCCGGGTCTCAATGCGAATGCGCAGCCCCAGGTAGTACACCAGGGACGCGGCGAACATCATCACGCGCGCCGACCAGCGCCCCGTGTTGGACGGATGCATGAAGGGCTCCAGCGCGCGGAAGAGCTCCTCCAGCGACCGGGCCGACGGGTCGACCGCCGGGTCCGGGCCCAGCGAAAAGGCAAAGTAGTGCGCCAGCGAGAAGAAGGCCGCCTGGTCGGAGGGCTGCAACGAGTCGTTGGCCGACGACCAGGAGAAGACATCCACCAGACGCCCGCCCCCGATGCCGGCCGCGCGCGAGCCCACCGGCACCGAGAAGAGGCTGATGGCCGTGGCCAGGAGCTGCGGCTCGAAGGCGTGCAGCTGCTGGCGGATCGGGTCGGTGGCCAGCGACACGGTCTCCGGGTCGAGGATGATCCCGCCGACCGTGTGCTCCTGCGCCACCCAGCCGACCAGGTCGATCCAGGTGGCATCCCAGGAGGGCATGTTGGCCACCAGGTTCCAGAGCTCCGGCACCCGGGCCAGCCAGCCGAGAACCTGCGAGGCGGGGGCATTGCGAATGGGCACGAAGCGCGAGAAGAACCCCAGCCCGAGGCAGAACTGTGCCGAGTCCGGCGAGAACATCGACAGAGCCATCTCCTTGATCTCATCGGTGTCGGCCGAGTCGAAGTACCTGCGCGTGCGTGAGG